TTTCAAAGGCTTATCAAGGCGTGGATTTTTTAAAGAATATTTTTTTCAAAGGCTTATCAAGGCGTGGATTTTTTAAAGAATATTTTTTTCAAAGGCTTATCAAGGCGTGGATTTTTTAAAGAATATTTTTTTCAAAGGCTTATCAAGGCGTGGATTTTTTAAAGAATATTTTTTTCAAAGGCTTATCAAGGCGTGGATTTTTTAAAGAATATTTTTTTCAAAGGCTTTTCAAGGCGTGGATTTTTTAAAGAATATTTTTTTCAAAGGCTTATCAAGGCGTGGATTTTTTAAAGAATATTTTTTTCAAAGGCTTATCAAGGCGTGGATTTTTTAAAGAATATTTTTTTCAAAGGCTTTTCAAGGCGTGGATAAAAGAATATTTTTTTCAAAGGCTTTTCAAGGCGTGGATTTTTTAAAGAATATTTTTTTCAAAGGCTTATCAAGGCGTGGATTTTTTAAAGAATATTTTTTTCAAAGGCTTATCAAGGCGTGGATTTTTTAAAGAATTTCAAAGGCTTATCAAGGCGTGGATTTTTTAAAGAATATTTTTTTCAAAGGCTTATGAAGGCGTGGATTTTTTAAAGAATATTTTTTTCAAAGGCTTTTCAAGGCGTGGATTTTTTAAAGAATATTTTTTTCAAAGGCTTATCAAGGCGTGGATTTTTTAAAGAATATTTTTTTCAAAGGCTTTTCAAGGCGTGGATTTTTTAAAGAATATTTTTTTCAAAGGCTTTTCAAGGCGTGGATTTTTTAAAGAATATTTTTTTCAAAGGCTTTTCAAGGCGTGGATTTTTTAAAGAATATTTTTTTCAAAGGCTTTTCAAGGCGTGGATTTTTTAAAGAATATTTTTTTCAAAGGCTTTTCAAGGCGTGGATTTTTTAAAGAATATTTTTTTCAAAGGCTTTTCAAGGCGTGGATTTTTTAAAGAATATTTTTTTCAAAGGCTTTTCAAGGCGTGGATTTTTTAAAGAATATTTTTTTCAAAGGCTTTTCAAGGCGTGGATTTTTTAAAGAATATTTTTTTCAAAGGCTTATCAAGGCGTGGATTTTTTAAAGAATATTTTTTTCAAAGGCTTTTCAAGGCGTGGATTTTTTAAAGAATATTTTTTTCAAAGGCTTTTCAAGGCGTGGATTTTTTAAAGAATATTTTTTTCAAAGGCTTTTCAAGGCGTGGATTTTTTAAAGAATATTTTTTTCAAAGGCTTTTCAAGGCGTGGATTTTTTAAAGAATATTTTTTTCAAAGGCTTTTCAAGGCGTGGATTTTTTAAAGAATATTTTTTTCAAAGGCTTTTCAAGGCGTGGATTTTTTAAAGAATATTTTTTTCAAAGGCTTTTCAAGGCGTGGATTTTTTAAAGAATATTTTTTTCAAAGGCTTTTCAAGGCGTGAATTTTTTAAAGAATATTTTTCCAAAGGTAAGTATTTGTCCTATATTATTTCATTTTTAAATAATTTTCTTCAATATTTTTTAAATAATATTCCGTCAAGATTCGTGATGTAGGTGCCTCATTTGATAATTCGCCCATATGAGGAGTTGTGTGATTTTTGGTATTTTTACGATTTAAGCTCGCTTTATTTTCGGTACATCGAAGTTCCTACCTCAGTTTTAACCTGTGTATGTAATTTGGGTTTTCATTTTCCCTAATAAACAACCTATTAGAAGGCAATTTACAGTGACACAGTCTTTATATAAAGATCCGGACCTATTTGATTGACATATTGTGAAGGGCATAACAAGTTTGACCCATCCAAACTTAACCACGTTTCTACTTGTTTAAATTGTTTGTTATTCTAAAGATAACACACCAAGGAGGAATTCTAAAAATATATGACCTAGAAGACCTTCTATAAATAGAGATATGAAATATTCTATACGTAAAAGCCGTCCTCATTGTAAATCGGCAGCATCATTTGTCCATGACATTCCAATACAATAACTTACAATTGTCCAGATCAAGATCAAGATCATGGTCTTTGTTCTTTTGTTAAACAGTTGGGCTCATAAGTTAGCTCGACTATGCAAATTCAGAAGATAAACCATTTCATGCGGTAATTTATATTGAATATTAACAAAACCAATTTCCATTGTTATTGATATGAATTGGACATTTATTTTGAACTCGATTCGATTTATCAATGCTGAAAATATTTCTAAGAAGTTATATCGATATAAATATCTAATAGTATGGACGTAAGATATCACAACTTCATCATCATTGCGTCAGGTTTGACAAGCAGAAAATCAAACAGCAATCAAAAATGGTAAGCTGATTATTTCAACATCATCAAGTACCCTTTAATAAAATATAATATTCTCTTGTATTTATAGAAATTCCTTATTGTAACAATGGCTTTGGTAGCCACCGTTGTGATGGCTGATGTTTCCGAATTGGCTTATGATTATCATGCTTCGGTCCCCATGGAAACTTATTTCGAACCCGTAATTTCAGCTAATAGCTATCTACCACCACCACCAGCCGCATCGGCACCCGTCGAAACATATGCTCCAGAAGAAAATAATCTTAATAGCTATCTTCCACCAGTTGGTGCATCTGTTCCAGCACCAGAATATTATGCTCCTCCAGCTACCAATACAAACGGTTATCTACCTCCCAAGGCTTCAGCATCAATTCCCATGGAAACATATACTGCTCCTGCTGTAAACAATGAATATCTTCCTCCTGTTCCCTCAGTACCAGTACCCATGGAAACATACACTCTTCCAGAAGTTAACTACAATGGTTATCTTCCACCAGTTTCTTCCAATACTGAAATTTCATATGCTACTCCCATAGCTGAGAGTGCTCCCGTTGATGATACTTACAGTGAAGCTGTAAACGAACCATCTTCTGCAGTTGATGACTCTGCTGCTGCTGGCACAGAATTCGGTGATGATGGTTATCGTTATAAGACTGTCCGTCGTCGTATTTATCGTAAACGTTTGTAGACATGCATTTATTTTTCATAGGTATATCCAAAGATTTGTTAGTATAATTTAGTAATAATAGAACAATTTTAGAAATTATAATTTTTTGACTTTCTAATTATTCGGAAATGTTTTTTGCTAGCACTGATGACTTCTGAAGATCACAGAGATAAAAAAATGTAATACAAGATAAGTATTCTAGAGATAGAATACCACTGAGGTCTTCTAAAGAAAGGAGACTAATCAGGCCTTCTAAAGATATACGACCATTAGGGTCTTCTAGAGAAAACAGACCACAGAGGTCTTCTGGGGACCACTGAGGTCTTCTAAAGAATGACACCAATGAGGATTCTAGAGATAGAAGACCACTAAGGCCTTCTAGAGATAGAAAATCACAGATGTCGTTTGGAGAGAGGAGAGGAGGAGACCGGCCATAGAAGTCTTCTGAAGATAAAACATCACTGAAGTCTTCTAGATTTAGAATATAACTGAGATATTCTAGAGAAAGTAGAGAACTGAGTTCTATGAGGAGGGAAACCACTGAGATCTTCTATTTTAGAAGATCTTCTTTTAGAATACCACTAAAATATTTCATGGTTAGAAAACAACTTCTATAGACAGTAGAGCGCAGAGATATTCTATACATTTGTATAGAAGGTCACTAAAATCTTCTACACATATAAGAAAGAAAATCGTTGAGGTATTGTCTTCTAAGAACACTAAAGATTGGGGAACACTGAAGTTTTTTAGTTGAAGTTGATGTAAAGTCAAGGCCGCTAGGGTCTTCCACAGTTAGATTGCTACTATGGTATCCTACAGACAGAAGACCACTGAGCACCACTAGAAGATCAATCAGGTATTATATGAAAATAAGATCACTGACCACTTCTATAGTTAAACGGCCACTAAAGATAGCCACGGAGCACTTCAATAAATTGAGAGTCTTTTAAAGAAGGACCCGATTCGTTTTCGGTATTTTAAAGATTTAAGTCACGAAGTGTATGTAATTGGAAATTCCGGATTCCGAGTAAATAAAAAAATAATTCTCAATGAAAGGCCCTGCTTAATTTTCGGAACGTTGAAACCCGGTACGTTAAAACGTAACCTAGTTTTTCAAAATGTGCTGAAACTTTATTTTATAATATCACGTGAACGAACTATCCGATTTGAACATAACTTTGCACAACCTAATATTTTAACTAAGACTGTATAATGTTGAAAAATCGGACTTATTGACCTACTCCATCTAATACCTGCCCCACAATGGGTCAATGTCTTGAAAACTTGTAATGCTTTTATGAAACGAACCCAATATCCAATTTCATCGAAACTTTGTACAACGTAATATTTTTATCGTCCTTAGATCATGTCCGAAAATGGGAACCAGATGCGGCCTATGTTAGAGGATGCAGCGGCTATACAAGCCACACACATATGATGACCAGGAAATTTTACACGAAGAATGGGCAATACTTAGCGGGCGGTAAATATGTTCGAATGTGTTCCGTGAAATCGTGGCCGACTTAAGTCAACAATAATCAAAATAACAAATTGTGATTTTATGCTTGCCACTTGCGGTTTTTGCTGCTGTGTGTCGTTTATTTTTGTTTTGGGATACCAGCCCGGACTTGCGTCGAACTGGGAAAGACTTCGGTCTCGAGCCTGATAGGAGGTTTTCCGTATTGCGGGTGACAGGTGCCCCTGGGAAGCTTCGCGGGGTTTGTGGTTTCGCCCCTCACCAAGGGGGAGAGAGTGTGCTTCCGCATGCTCTCCGATTGGTACAGCACTTCGGTGCTAGTGCGCTGGTGGGCGCATTACCGCCTGTGGCTCAGCCATGATGAGGTAGGCCAATAGGCCAGTACTCACATTAAATCTCTCAAGATACCATCAGCCTTATGGCTAATGGAGGTATATACACTTTGATAGGGTGAAAATGTGCCTTATCGAAATATTGGTTTCCGTCTGTCTGTCTGTCTGTCTGTCTTTGCACATCTTAAGATTTCTTCCAAACTTCTTGCAGCAAATGAGTGATATGTGATGGGAAGACCAACACATTTATACATTAAAGGCAATTATGACGAAAACTCAAATCAGAGTCGAATAAGTTGTGTATCCTTCCCGATCCTTACCAACGTCGTTCTTATTTTTATGTGGGTCATGTTATTACTATTTTTTGTTAATGTGATATAATTCTATTCAAAACTATTCTTATTAAAATCCAATAAATGCCTCAAATAGGAATATCAACATATCATTGAAAATAAACAACAAACAATCGTGGATGTTTTTTTATCATTTTTTATTCACGTTTCGTATTTAACACTCTTAATGACGCATTAGTAAAATTTGCATAAACCATTTTATGCCGAATAAAATCTAAATTCAAAGAGGAAATAATTCAATAAATGTTGATATATCTCAATAACTATAAAAGTGGCAATTTGCATTTATTTGATTTGGTGAATAACGATACAAAATTAGTCGACCATGATACAAATGTTACAGTTCGAAATTGTGAGGTGACTGGGGCAGACATAGATTATTTTTTGTTAGATTTTAAACAAAATTCTAATACTGTGATTCAGATTTGTGAATGTTTATTCTTCGGTCTCGAGCCTGTATATTGTATATCATAATAGCTGAACCCGTGGCGCTTCGCTGCCCATACTGAAGTTATTAACATTGGATAGTTAACGTCGAAAACTATTTGTAGGTATTTCGTTGTGTAATATCAGTAATAATATCGTAGCAGCCGGTCTATGTATTAGTATATTTGATTCTATTCTATAGATTACAAAATCTTTGAATAACGCCGCACCAAACTGTGACTTTTTCGTCATGAAGAGGCAACTTCTTGAATCTGCTGAGGATTTTCAGTGGCGTAAAAACGACAATTTTGGGCTTCATCGGACATGATAATTTTGTTCCAAAATTGCTCGTCATCTTCGGCCATTTCGATGACTCTTTGGGCCCATTCCAATCGACGAGGCTTGTCCGCAGGCAACATTCTTTGTGTCAATTGAATTTTGTACCGGAACAAATGCAAATCAATGCGAATAATCCGTTGTAAAGTGGACCGAGCCATGCCCAACTGCTGAGAACGGCGTTTTTGGGATGTTCTTGGGGACCTCTCAACACTGGCTCGTACGGCAGCGATATTCTCGGCCGATCGCCTTGGTCGACTTTTATATGGCCTCTTCGGATTAGAAAGAGCCTTACCAGTCGAAAATTTTTCGTATAAACGCTTAATGGTGTTCTTAGAAGGCCAACTTCTCGCATTTTTTAATGTTTTATAAGCACGTTGAGTTTTGAGTAAATTTCAACTATTTCAGAGCGCTCGCGTGGCGTGTATTGGTTCATGGTAAAAATCTGCTTGGACTGACGCTTCAAATGCGGCATGTCATTAAGCGATGTGACATCTCTGTCAAAAGTTATGGCATTGCCAGATGGGTCCATCGAATATGGGCAACCCTGTACCTGACGTATGATCCTTGTTAAGTATTTTTAATTGTTTCACTGGCAAACAAAATTCACAATAATGCATTATCACATCATAATTTTTTACTGAACCTAGATATAGTATTGTTATTAAGTCCGAAGATAGGGTTTGTGGCGTTTGGGTAAGTCATTTCCTCTATAAATCCTCGAAATATATTACCTATAATGATAAGCCACCACAGATTTCGGACTTTTATAACTTTTATTCCACAATCAGCATTTCTCTCCACAATCAGCATATTTAATATATTCAAATATATGCATAGAAAATGAATATTAGTTCAGAGGTATGATTACTGTTGATGCTATAACTCCTCGCCATCGCGGAAGTTATAGCATCACGCAAAATTTTAGAAGTTTATATAGCCTATATTATTTCCCTCGGATGACATGGATGTGTCTAGAAACAAAACATTCTTTATTTCCTACATGTAGATTATTTAAATGTAACGGAGAGTGCATTTCCACCGATCTTATCTCGCTCATGTTTTTATGAATAAGGTGTATTCACACCTACGATATACAGATAAATTTTGAAGGCGTTATCTGTAACCATTCTTAACATAAACGCATATTACATGTCCAGAAAATTTGAGGTATGTTTACTATTGATGCTATAACTCCGCATCCATGCGGAATTTTTAAAGTTTATATAGCCTTACTTTCAGGGCATGCCCCGACATACAGTTTAAATCATAATAAGATCTGTTCAGCGGTTTTGGCGTCTATCGATAACAAACAAACAAATTGTTGTCTATTTTATATATATATATATAGATTATGTTAAACTGTGAACGGAATTCTAATATTGTTTTTCAGAGTTATACATGTTTATTTATTTACAAAATATTAGTTTTAGAGAGCTATAGAGCTATTATTACCTTACGAATGTATTCTCTCTACTTCTTGCTTTTTTTTGTACCCGATATTATTTAGTATTATTTTCTATTTATATTTCGGATTAGAGAAAAAATTCTATCATATACTCACCCCAGCTATTCGTTTATCTTCAAACGGCACCAGGGTCGGATGATAAATACCATTTGTTAGATCGTCAACACGTGAAATGCCACTCATTAAACGGGCAACCCGTCTACGGGCGTTATCCTCCTCGGAAAAATATTCATATTGATTGTGATTATGATCTTGAAAATATGACTGTTCTTCCGGTATGCCGGTATTTTCGGACCAAGCTGCATCATGTGTGGACGCGGTCTCAGTGGTCTCCATATATTCGATATTATCATCATGTAGATTTATGGGTGGTTGGAATTTAGCCACTTCGTGTTTGAGTATGGAAAATGCCTCTGAAAAAAAGGACATTTATGGACATTTTTATTATTTTATGTAATAAATGTAACTTTAATTTAAACATGACAAATATGGTAACTATCTCAAAAAGAAGAAATTGAATTAATCTGATACTTTTTCTGTATGTAGATTTTATATCCCGAGTCTATTCTATTCTACTCCCTTTATTGAATATAAAGTAGACATACAAGTTGATGGGAGAGTGGTAGATT